AACAGGGCTATGAATTATAACTAAAAAGATGATAGTGAGATAAAAACATAAAATAGTAATGGGAAATGGAATTTTATATAATGTCAACAACTTTAGCATGATTCTTGGCATAAGCAATTTAGTGCAATTTCATTTGTCTGAACCAGAGTGATCTTACAAAGTGAATTAATAGAACATTAGTACTGAAGAAAGAAACAATTTTTCCTTTGAAACATAAAGTGCCACTAACTTGAGATGAAACCTGAAAGTCAGTGAATAATATATGGGAAAAATTAATATTTTAAACGTATCATATTTAAAATTACTGTGAACTTAAGCAATGCTTCATATCAAGAAAAAAAGAAAAAAACATAATTCATTTTAGAATTCAGTTTTATACACAGCATTTTACAAATGAAGCAATCCACTAAAGAATAAAGGTATGTAAACATATTGTTATTTTGCACATGAAATATAGCCACTATGGCATATGGATTTAATTGGGAAATGACAAAAAAAGAATCCATGTTTCACCTTGTACTGCACTGAAAGGAACACATTTTTAAGTGGCTGATTAATAAGATGAAATGAACTGATACAGTCAATGCTATCTGCGTAGGCTTTTGAGCATAGTGAAACCATACCACAACGGGACACTTATAAGAAGTGTGACGTCAGGTAAAGCAACATTTAAAATTTAGAAAGGGAGTTTAGACAATTCAGCTTATTATTGTAAAAAAAAAAAAAAAAAAAAAAAAGAGCCGTGTGGCCTTTGATACTGCATTTTTAAAAATTATTTTAAAAGTATTAACAATTATTAAAATCTACTCCTTCAAGAAAGGCTACATGGTAGGATTGAACCCTGCTCTTCAGCTCAGGGGCAAACCGTGGTGCTCTGGCTGTCATCGATGTCTGTGAGAAGCAACTGCAGCCCTCAGTCTTCTCCTTAATATAGCATCTACCAACTCCAGCATCATATCATATCATATCATATCATATCATATCATATCATATCATATCATATCATTATCCTGGTTGGGACAAATCCTGCCTGTCCTGTTCACTGAAGCCACCTGGGGTTTTGTCTGCCTGGAATGAGCAGGATCTGACTGTCCACCCTCTCTCTGGTGCAACCCCACTGGAACTTAATATAAGTCAAGGCACTGGTTTTGCCTGGTTTTTGAGCCCAAAGTGAATTCTTCCAGAATCAGGTCCGAGGGAGAGCCATTCTGCCTGCACTTATGCCTAGCTGACCTGAAGGCTGTACCCTTCTCGCTTTAGTMCAGCAACACTGTCTCTGGCTTCGGGGAACCAGGCCAATAAAATCTGCCCCGTGGAAAGGAGATGTGAGATGGGGAATTTTTCAACACTTATGTCAAAAAGTGTTTGCACAAGTGGAAAGCACATATGAGCTTGGTTAGGAAAGAAATGCCCCTTTCCTGGAAATACGAAGGTCYGTGCTGGGGCTATTAGCACTTTAGCCTTGTCTTGTTGAAGCAGACCAAAAGCCTGTGTGGTGTCCAGGCTGGTTCCTACCCGTAGAGCATCGCAGATGCCACAGGAAAGGGCAAAAGCGGGTAAAACGCCTGCCCTCTCCTGCACAGCGGAGCTCTTTCTGGACACTTTTGACCCRAACGCTGAGGCAAACACTTGATGCACTTCCCCAAATCACTACTGATTAATTTTAGTACCTCTTGTTTTCTGTATAGATGCTCAGTCTTGTTCTGAAACTTGTTATTGATATTTTATTTTCAAAATAGCTATGACAGGAGAACAAAAAACTTAGTGTTTTTTAAACAGTTTAGCCATTTCACTTTTATTTGTTTAAATATAAATTTCTCTGCTGTGTAATAACCCTTCTTTCCACATTTATACCTGTATGCATAATGCTAACCCATTCCAGAAACAACATTTTAAAACATTGTGTCATGTTTGTAGGATAATTATTAATCTTCTCACAATAAAAACATAGCAAAAGTACTTCATGCAAAGGCTTATGCCTTAATATTTTCAAAAGTTTTTTTCTTAAAGTAATTAGATATGTCATAACAGAGGAAGAAACTATACAATGTACAGCATGTAGCAAAAGTATATGACTCCTACAAGGCTATTAAAAAATGCACAAAGATTTATTTTTCTTATTTGTTTTAGTAGTACACTTGATGAAGGTATGTTTTTATATTTATTCCTGCTTGTGTCTCGCAGTTCTATGAAGATGATGCGAAACTACAATTTCAAAATTTTAGTAGCTATAAATGATATAAAAATAAAGAAGCAAAATGTTCACACTATGTATCTGGAGGGATAAATACACAATAATCACGCAATTTGATGGCAGAAAGAATCACTATTTGACAATAAAACCAATGCTAAATACAAACAGAATAATATTGTTCTACTGAGAAATGCAGCAAATAAAATGATAGAAGAAAAAAAAGAAAGATGCTTTTGAAACTCTGTCTGTCTCTCTCCACGTTTAGACCTTTTTCAGCTGAATGTTCAAGTTCTGTGACCTGCTGCATAGAGACAGTGTTAGGGAACAGATTAAGCAAAATTTTCCATCACGCTTTTCATATCCTGTATCTCTGAACCCTCCAAAAGGCAACTTGTCTCACTTAACTTTAGGAAGGTCGTTTTACTGTTTATTGCTTGAGATCTGACCTTGTGTACACTTAGGCAGGAGTTAATCTCGTGAGCAGTGCTTGTAAGTTCATCTACGTATTTGGTGCAGAAGATCGGCGTTTCCAAACTGGCAGTTCATGAATCTTGCTACACGCACAGAAAGGGGATAGATACTGCAGGAAAAGTACCTGCCTGTCGGAGGCATTGGGCATTAACAGCTGACTTTGACTTCAGTGAGAATACTGAGAAAACTCAAAAAATGTGAAAAAAAGAGACCGTTTTCTTTAGAAAGTCAGATGTTGATACAGAAATCAGAGTTACAGTCGCCCTGACTGGGGAAAAAAAAAAGACAAAATGCTATCACYGGAAATTCTGTTTTTATCTTCATTTAGCTTTAGCATCAGCCCTATGGATATAATTCCAAACCTACCTTTTCCCATGTGATAGCTGTTGGTTTTGCTCTTTCCTTCAGAGAGTTAGGAGAACTAATTAAACCAACACCTCTTTAAAAAAAGATACCAATATTAGATATTATTGTTCTTTACTCAATTAAGAAAATGAGTGTAATCTGCAAAGAATGAATTAAGATTTTAAATGGTAATATTTTGACTTTTGCACAGGAGGATCTTAGTACTAAACACTTCCTCCAGGTATTTTCTCCTAAAATTAGGAAATAATAAGGCACAAAATTTTAAAGGCTTGTTAGAGGGAAAATTTTCTATGTTATAAAATATTGAAACCTGAACAAAAATAGTCTAAAGTTTCTGAGGAACAGCCAATAGTTGATGTTAACAGCAAGGAAGAGAATATGTCGTATACTCCTCTACATTGATGAAACGTGTAGCGTGTAACTAACTTTAAGAAATTTTATTTGTTGCACCAGAATGAGGAGAACTCAAACAAATGGGTGCCTATCAGTGCAAGCCCCGTCAGGAGGAGAGGATCAGTTTTTYGAACCATTTTGGCTGGATGTTGAGCAGAAAGCAGGAACGGGGCCCAATCCAACGCCTTGTCTGCGTTGGACCCAGCACTCTTCCTGGGCTCTAATTTCTTTGTCTATGAATTGCAAGTTAAAYTCGGAGGCTGATTCCTCCTTCCATGGAATCAGGGCAAGCTGTGAGCGATGTCCGTGCCGGGAGGACACTTGTGTCCCCGATGTGATGGGTGCCCCCCTGTGCTGTGCTCTTGGAGAAGGCTCCTTGCTGGTGCAAGCGGGACGCCTTCCCGAATGACACCTTGAGCCTTGCTGCTTGGTCCYGTCTCCGACCGCATTTCTGCATCTTCATTTCTTATTTTTATAAAAAAGTCCTTTGCTTTGTTGAGAAGTGATTGGGCTCTCTGCTCAGCACCAACTGGTCTTAGCGGGTTTGGAATTCCTGGAAAACCTCACTCCTTGCATTTTACGGATACAGTCAGAAAAGCAAGCGAGAATATTCGGAGGTGAGGCGCATTTTAAAGGGGCACTCTCGCTTTTTAGTTTAGTCAGTTAAAATATACAAACGCGGTGCAGTTTGGGGCAGTTGCAGCAAGCCACAAGTGCTCTTCGTAATTTAAAGCCTCTACATTTTAATTATTTCTTCTTTTTTTTTTTCCTGCCACTATGGCTCTGTAAAAGACCCTGGAGACAATGGGGGACTGTGACACAGAGGAACAGGTTATACCTTCTACACAGAAAGTGCTGTAAAAGGCACAAAATAAAATACACTGAATAAAATAAAATAAAGTTCCCCTAATTTGCAGCATTTATAGTAGTCACGTTACATCAGCAGTTGGCAAGAAAAAGAAAAGGGAGACAGAAATGTGATCTCTAAACTGACAGAGCCTCTTTAAATTTGCTTGAAGAACCATCTCATGAAAAAAAAAAAAAAAAAAAGACATACTACAGTGTTCTGGATTTTATTTGTTTAAATGCAAATTTATGGAGCTGGCCACACACCAAAAATTGGAGAGTTTGGTGCTGCAGTTGCTTTGGTGTTCTTTCAGCATTGTAATGGGCTACAGAGAGACAAAGGAGAATATGAATATATGGCAGTTGATATTTAGATTTGGGTGACATTTTTGCTTGTTTTAACTGTCATTTTTAAAAATCCATTTTCATTCTATCGTGCCATTGAATCGTGGCAGACATTGATATAGAAAAGCTGGAATTATTTAATAAACAAAATTAGCAGTGATTTTTGTACTATGCTTGTCATTGCCCAACCTCTCAGGCATTCGTGAGTCCCAAGGTCCAGGGGAAATTTGCCCACAGGACAGAGTGAGATGGTAGGTGGTGGGTCTCCTCACTCCCTGACTTGGTTTCTTTTTTAAAGCAGAAAAAAAGCAGCCCACTTAAGAGGGCATCAGAAAGGCAGCTAAAATCTGATACTACTMTCACATCTTCTGCAATATATTTTCAGGAGTCTGCACCTGATTTTAGTGCCAAGGAGACGCTTTGGGGAACGGAGCCGACTGACCCCGGGTCTGCCTGTGGAGGAAGAGGCATCTCCTTCGTCCCTCACCTGCACATGGCTCGGAGGATTTCACCTTTCTAAGGCAAGTGCTCCCAGCAAGCTGGCTGCATTCACACCCTGCTTCTCGTAGCATTAGTACAGAACCAAGTTACAAAGGAATATTAATCGAATACATTCCAAAATTCAAATATGTGTGATTAATAAGCATTATTATCTATAAATAAGGCTCTAATGATACTTTGGCAGTGTTGTAAACACAAGAATCAGAAGCAATTATTGTCATTATTGTTCTGCAAGTACTTCCCATGAATACCAAATAGGTATTACTGTCCAGCTCCTTGGCACATAGAAATCCTGTAAAGAAACAGTTGTCAGTCAGTAAGGTCTGGCTGGCTGCTGTTAACTATGTTCATCTCAAATGCAGCGTACCTAAGGACAAAGCACCTAAGTTACTGAAAGCAAGGCAACTATTCGTTTAGAAATTCTCCTTTGTCTTTTCTTTTTTTTTTTTTTTTTTCCTCAACCCACCAAGATATGTTAAATAAAGCCTATGAGAAAGTTTTCACATCCTGCGAGATGAACTGTTTGTGTGATGGCTGTGATTAAAAATGGAAATGGATTCTCTGCCAAAAAAAACTACCCTTCTTTGTGTGAAACCCACAAAGGTAAGAAAATTCCAGATGAAAGGTGGTGTGAAAATAATTACAAAGGAAAAACAAATCCAAAAAACAACCCCCCCTAAAAAAAAAGCAGCTATTGGAGGTAGCCCACAGATTGTTTTCAAGGGCACAGGGTGAAAGAGGCGTTCGCAGCTGTCGCATTCGCCTCTCCCGAGCTTTCCGCGGGTCCCGCGGAGCAGAGGCCCGTCCGCTCGTCCCGTCCCACTCGGCTCCCCCACGCGTGCTCCCCTGGCAGCCTCACCTCCCTCGCCAACCTCGCTGCTTTAGACAGCGCCAGCCAACAGCAGCGTTTTGTGGTGGGTGTCATGTTGTTCTTCAGATGCCAGGGTGTCATCGTGAGCGGGAACAGTGTGGGTCTGACTCTCAGAATCTGTAGAAAGAGGAGGAAAAATCCCCAAACAGTGAGCTTGACTTTCCAAATGTGTTCAATTCTTCTTTCCTCTCCTTGATATTTGGGGCGCGCAGCACCCTATACCATGTGGTTTAACATTTTGTTCTCTATTTGTAGGTCAACATTTCCATGATTAAACTTCATCCTTTATTCAGCCTGCTCTGGCTAGGCTTTGCAGCACATGTGATATAAGCTGTTTTCACAGCTAGGAGGCCAAATCTTACTCTGGATAAGGGAGCCAAACATATGTGACTGAGTCAGACACTTAAATCAGCTCGCTGGTAAATGGGAGATAACTCCAGGTGCAGCGTTGAACACTGAGAACCAAAGAAGTGGGAAGGGTGGCCAACGTTCCTCTGTGGGGGAAAGGAGACATCCTAGGCACACAGAGAAGTCTTAGCCCTGYCCAAGTTTCTCCCTCCCACATTTCCCTGAGGATACTGAGCCTTCTTCCCCTCAAGGGCACTATGTTCCTCTCTGTCACCCTCTCTTCATTGCCTTTACATCCCAAGCTCACCTGCTGACTGAGGCAGATGCATCTTCTCTTGCCTCATGATAGATGTCAGCTGCTCTAATGTGGGATGGCACTGGATGACCTTTCCTCATAAATCAATGGAGCAATTCCTGGAAGTRCTCAGAGCCCAGAATGAGCATTACCCGATCCAGTCATCCTTGGTGCAGAGGATTTGGATTAAAGGGCTCTTTCTGGCTGCATGGTCTCCTTCTCACGTCCTTTTCTGTTGTCTGGTGGCTCTGGTAAACAGAGGGAAGCCTCCATGGGTAGCCAAGCACAAACAGAAGAGCCAGTTGAGCAGGCAGATGTCTTATACACGATTCAGACCAAGTATCTCCTTGATGTGTGACATTTTCACTTTCACTGGGACTGGTCTTGTCCTGGCTATTGGGCTGCCAGGAAACCTAAACTCTTCTCAGCACATTTACCCTACAARTGCCGTGTCTGAACAGCAAGAATAATGAGGAAGAGCTCTTGTAATAGATCCAGGGAGGATTATCCAGAAACAGGCATGGTTGTTCCCATAATTTTGCCAGCTACTGCTAAGGGATAGCACTTTGGCCTATGTTTTGATGATGACTTGCATCAAATCACAGAGTATCACTGGGCATGAGCTGTTTGCCTCAGGAACAAGCCCTTGATGGGATCTGCTTGACTCTCTTAGTTAAGGGAAATCCTGGGAATTTAGGGAGCAGGGCTTTCAGAGACTTTCACTTTAATTTTTTTTTTTTTAATGGCACACATCCTCCAAGGTCTCTTCATATGCTTAATATTTGCAATAACTCTATGCTCTTGGAAAAAGTCTCTCGCAAYCCCAACTTTTCCTACTTGTTAGCTCCTTGGCAGGCAAGCTTCAATAGCACAATCTATGTCTGTGCAAGCTTTGGGCTCTCCATCGTGCTCAGAAGGACCTGCTGTGGTCCATGCACCAGCACTTAGAATCCTGGTACTTGGGGGCTCTGAGGAGCATCCCCATGGTGGGACAGATCCCAGGGCATGTGGAAGGAGCCTGGTTGACTCCTCTGCCATTCTGTCAAAAGACTTCTTCTTGGTGACTATAAGAGAGTTGTGGAGGTTGCTCTTGGCACGTCTGTGATCAGCAGGGCAGGCCCTGGTGAGGGCATGCTGTGATGAAGCAGGGCRTGAAGTGATCTGCTGTGCCCATAGACCTGAAATTGGACAAGGCAGAGAGAAAGGGTCTGCAAAGAAAGAACTGCACATTTCTGATCTCTCTGGGATGTACGTTAATGATATACAGGGATAAATCTATCTGCTTCAAGGACACAGAAGCACCAAATTAATGGAAAGAGGAGGTTGGCAACATCAGCCTATAGAGTCAGATGACTTCTCCACTACTGTCTTTTTGGAATGCATGCTGCACTTTGGGCTCGTCTTTTGAAAGCATCAGACCAATTTTAAAAGCACAGGCAGTGCAAGAAGGCAGGAAAGTTCTGTGACCAGAGTGCGAGACGAGCACCCACATTGCTACACCATGAAGTAGAGGAAAAGCAAAGTAAAGTTTTTTCTTTGGTTATTGAGACAAAGGAAACTAAGTCACCATTTTCTTAAGTAAAAGTTTCCCTGTTGCATAGTATAAAGTGTCTCTGGATCACACAGGGATGATTTACAGCTGTAGTACCACATGCAATTTCAGGTCAATGAAGAAACCATGTATTTAATATTATCTTTTCTGTTGTTTCTGATTGTCTTTTTTTGGGAATTGATATTACTGTAAGTAAATACATTTGTCTTTTGTTTCATTTCCCCCTTGTGACCTATTTCATTTAATTAGAAGGAAATGTGTAATAGGAATGAGTAGCATCACACTGGGCTTCATCCAAAGCCTGTGAAAACATCAGTAATGTTTCCTATGGTTTTCATGGGCGTCGGATCAGGTCCAGCAGAAWGGAGGGGATATTTCCACCTGATCTGGAACAGGAGGAGGGATGTGTGCTGCCAGTGCAAAAACACTACTGCCATCATTTTAAGATCTGCCCCMGGTATTAGGGAAGGATTTTGCTACTGTGCATGCCTCTGTGCCACAGGCTTCATATCTGTGGCAGCACGTTAAGGATAAAGGTTYTTAAAACTGCGACTATACATATAAAAAGAAGAAACAAATTAACTAAAAGATAAAAGATATTGATGGAAGTATATGAGATGCTCTTTAACATGCATATTATTGACTCAATAGATTGTTATGGCTTCAGAGCTATTAGGGTCTGCTGTGTCAATGTGTACTTAGGGACTGTTTAATATGCAGATGGTTGACATGACAGACCGAAGCCATTACAGTCTATCATGTCAGGGGGGATACATGAATACACACTTTGCCAACACTGTAAAAAGTCCCTTTAAAATATAGTTCCTGTGCAGACTTGGCTGCTAAAATAATTTAATAGATCAGGTTGTACGAATACTCTGAGACCACAGAGTCTAGATTTATCAGCAGCAGAATTTCTTTCCAAATGAAGCCATTTTCTATGTGGAATGTGCAGTCAGTAGGACAGGGTGTAATCTCAGATATGCAGCTCCTATCAAATCTTGTAAAATTAGCTCCTGCACTTGTGCGTGTGTATAAGAGATCAGAATCTATCTGTCGTCATGTGTCTTTTTGAAGAATATAGTTTTGTCTTTTTGAGGGGTAAGGGAGGATGTTGTCTCTTTTTTTTTTTCATTCAAATATTCTTCAGTAGCAATTAAATAGCTTATGCTACCTAAGAGATCAGTTATTACAAGATAAGCAGCATGACAGTTTGGAAAAACTGAATAAGTCTTTGATTATTTACTAAGTTTTGATATCTGCTATTTGCCTCAAAATGCTAAAAAGTGAAGTATAAGATACAAACATGAAAGRCTCATTTGATCATCATAAGGAAAGGAATCAGTAGTTTTGCTTTTCTTTTCCTCAACAACTTATTTTTTATTAAAATAGCAAAGCCAACTGTTGTGTTTAATAAGATTTTTTTTTCATTTGAATATCAAATGGAAAAATACAATTAAAATATTTCTGGTTTTACATTACTTCTAGGCTACATTTCAGTGACGCGCATATCTAGAAAGCTCAGTGTACATATTTGTTATATATTAGATGCTTCTAGCAGATGCCCAGACCTTTTTCTCTGATTTTGAATGATTTTTTTTTTTTCATGGCAGAGATTCAGGGACATTTTAATTTGCAAGCCTGTGAACTTGGAAATAACACTTGCAGTGGGGCATCGCATCCAGCTCCGTTCCTCTAAGTTTATTGCCATGTGTCACCTAGCTCTGATTCTGAGCTGAGCTGCTGTACTGAGGGGCATGGTGTAACCCTAATAYGAAATTCGTGGAGAACAAAACCACTCTGCCATTCACGAAAATGTAAACATGCAATGGTTAGAGGCCTTCCCTCAYAGTATGGGGCTTCCGACAGCCCTCGTAGCTTTGACTATTGCATTTCTCTGAACGCAGCACACTCTCGTGCCCCGTTACAGCATGGCTGGCATAGTTTGCAACTCCTCACAAATGCTGAGATGCTGCAAAATGTAACGTTTACAAAAGATACATCTGGTGTATATTTGCAAGTTTCCAGAATCGTTTAAATAGTGCCTGTTCTATCACCATATTAGGAGAAAAGTAACTCCCAGATCCATATGTGAAATCAGTAGTGAAATGTATGCTGGTTGAAACTCCACTGATATCATGTAGCATTTCTGTGTGCAAATATGGACATGCTATACTGCATGTAACACCCAAATGAAATAATACAGAATAAAATGTAGACCTGGATAGGGCATGTGTGTAAATTGCCATTACACACCTGCTCCAATCTATTCGATCAGAAGATGATCATGAGTTTTCAGGGACAAATCTTAAATTTTTAATTCAGGAGGAATCTTTGGCTTCTAGTTGTAAGGCAGACACTGTATTTTTTTTTCCTAATCATCAGTGAGAATTGTGAGAACTATCTTGGAATCAGGGAAAAATGTCAAGCAGTTTACTTTACATCACACAACATACTGAGAAAAAGAAATGCCTGTTTCTGTCAGCGCTATATTACTTAAGACACATTTGAAAACAATGTTTTCATTAAGGTGATGGTTAATGTTTTAACCCCACTAAAGCAGAAAATTTGAGGTAAAACAGATACTCTCTTTCTCAGTCATGCAAACATGAATAAGCAGGTAGCATCAGACTTAATTCTGATTTCTGGAGCTGTAATTGAATTTAGGCTTAATGTGAGCTTTTTTTTTTTTTTTTCCCCGCCATCACGTTGATATCTGGATATTAGTGACATTATTTAAAGCAACAAATCAACCTATAGAAAAGTGCTCAGTTCTACTTTCTTTGAGCTGATTGACAGTAAACGGAATTAAAAAAATGTTATTTTTCTCTAGAGGCAGATTTGCTAAAGAGTTTTCACCTTTTATCAAGATATTTAAACTTAGAATGTTATCAAAAAAATGCTCAGCTTGTACAAATCCAGATTTTCACATGCACAGTTTGCCTGACTGCTAATTTGGGTGAACACACTTAGGCTTAATACAGGAAAAMGAAAGAAGAAAGATAATTTCTGCAGATATCCTTTGAGTCCAGTGTGAGTCTCTGGACTCCAAGAGATGCAGGTATCCACTTTCTGAGCTGAAGGCTGTCACGCCACAGAGCCTGATACAACAGTCTTGGTTCACGCATGCTAAYGAGAACAAATCCTAACAACGAGCTGTTGAGTGACATCAACAGAAATGAATATTTGTAAAAGCTTTAGGGTTTTGTAGAAAGCAGGTGAAGCTAACCATGGGGCACCCTAGCCACTACTAATTGACCAAAGCAGGGTAAGATTATGGCTAAAATTTTGACTAAAATTTTTGGCTGGACCTTTTTGAATTCACCTTTGTCTGGCAATGGACTGAGCAAAGTTGATATGGGAGTATATWATTAACACAACATACCCTCTGAGGAGTTCTCTCCTGTCCAAAATTATTAGTGCCTGTCCCTCCATCTGGGTAGTTATGACATATCGGGATATCTACTCTTCAACACATAATATGTCTTCAGAAGAAGATGATTAATCAATTGATAGACTATAAACATGGACCATCCTATTGCCTTTCCATGCTTTGTTTTGCTTCTTGTTTGGATTCTCCAGGTTATTTGGTGACTTTTCTGATCTCTCACGTCAGAGAGGAAGCAAGGCCTCCACATGYTGTCTTCAAGCCCACTGTGGGCCAGGTTGTAATCTCAGATGCGGGGCATACACTCCTCCTTTGCCATCTGCTTGCTGKAGGGTGGATTTTGCCTACACCTCCATTAAACTACTTTATTTTAACCAGCACAACTGCTTTCTCCCGTCAGTCCTCTCCATTCAAGGCACGAGGTACGCGAGGCCAGCAAGTGCACATTCCCAGATGTGGCCAGGTGTGTGCYGTGCATCAGAGATTAGGCTCCCGTCTGACATCTCTGGGCTTAACCTCCCTGCTACTGCGCAATTTTTTTCCCATTCACTAATGTGGCTAGTTTTATTTAAAGATATTTCCCATAGCCTCTGCAACTCTTGGCCTTATTGTGRGCTCCTTTCTTGCCCCAAGTTTAATTTCTCTGTAGCATGCAGACCTGACAAAGGGAGTGTCTCAAAGTGATATACTCCATTTTATACTGCTACATCTAGAAAATAACACTAGGCAATTTCTTCCTTCATTCCTCAAAACTATGAAAAAAAATGATTGGGAAATGGTTGAAATTCTATAAGCAGATTTTCAAGTAGGAACAGATATTTTTTTTGCTGCCAAGATGTATAATAGGTATTTTTGAGAGGTCGTTAACTTCAACAGTATAGTCAAAAACAGTGTTACACCCCACACTGCATAATTCGTTAAGCAATTAAGTTACTGATAGGCTTTTACATTTATTTACCTTGATGGAAAGATATGTTTACTCAACCTGAGTACAAATCAACATGAGGAGGCGGAAGTTCAGAGTAAATTTGACTAATGATGTTGTGTTTTCATCCTTAAAAGAAAGGAAAAAAAAGCCTCCTTGCTTTTGATGCTATTTTATCTTCATTGGAAGGGATCCGAAATGATCCCAACTGTCATGTGAGCACTCAGTTAGGCTCAGATCCTCTTTGATTGCATCTGAATGTCTCTCTCAGCTGGCTCATGCCTCCCTTATATGAATACAGCGTACAGCACTCYGGGTTGTTTATTAAGCAGGGCTTTGACTCTTCGGCGGGGAATATTCTCATGACTGCATCTTTTAGCAAAATGCAGCATGTGGCCACCTTTGCCCGGGGAGACACTAATGCAGCCTCGTTTCTGATGTGCGGCGAGAATTTCCTCTGAACAGAATTYAGTTATTTTAAGATGACTTCTAAAATACAAAGCTGCCTGGTGCAAGTTTTATTTTTCGGTGAACCCTAATTACCGCTCATTTTCTTCCAGGCCCACTTTCAGTCTGGTTTTATGGATTTTTCTCTCTCCCCAAGTAATTCCTCAGCATCCCCTTGGATGGCATCTACGGTACGTGAGCATTCTCCACAGTCTCTAAGACACTTTAGTTGTTTTCCTTTTTTGAACATTTATTTTTTTGAGATGACATTGACAGACATGTGGCCTAAGTCTCTGTGGGTAGAGCTCACATTTATTTCGGTATGTAGAGCAGCTTTAGGATCTGATCCATATTGAAGACTAGCAATGTGTAATGAGGCCTGGGCATATAAAACAATATGTATTATAACATTTCTCTCTCAAAACACATATGTTCCCTTCTCTTCAGCTGGTATAAACAAACAATCTCTATTGTGTTCAGTATGGCTAAACCGTTTTGGATTATATAAGACGAACTTGGCTTCTCAGTTTTTCCAAATTTACTTTGTGAAAAAGCATCGCTGTCCTGCAGCGCATATCTTTGACTCCATGACTGTGCCATCCCATGACCTAGGATACCTATCATAAGGGCTGACATTACATCTGGAATTAAGTCAAACTGTCTTCGAGGTAGAACTTTTCATACCACAGATATAATTAAATTATGTCTCATTTTTTCAAGACTGAATCCTGTGTTCCTTAATCAAATAAAACTGACATTGCATACTGTGACAGTTTTACATAATGAAAATAACAGAGAACTAATTTAATAGCAGTTGCAACATATTCTCGTGCTGACCTGCAAAACCTTTTGCCCTGATATCTAAATTTTCTTTTGATAACAATTGGCAGCAGAATTAAAAATTTTGTGATGACTTGAGGTGGAAAAATTAACAGRGACCAGTTCAAAACTCACGTGTGAAATTCACTGCCTTTGTGAACTGAACCAAGTTTGAACCCAGGTGTTCATTCTCCAATTGAAGTCAGATTTTATGCCATTCTACAAAACCGTTATACTGTTCTGTAACTTATGCTGGAAGCAGAGTGAGCTGTTTTGGCGCTGAAATGATTTTATTGTTAGACTAAGTGTTACACAGATGGCATTCTTAAATGTAAAATTCTTTTTATGATTCTTTCAATTTCATATTTATTTCATTAGATCATTATTTATGTTAAAGAGACACTATTAATATGAAACGTGCTCAGCTTAAAAGAAAATGTTGAGAAGACTTTCACGTATCTGATCCTCAATCCTTTGGTTTTTGTGTTTCATATTTTTCTATTTTAAATTTTTTTTGTGTCTCTAGGTGCTGTGTGACAGATCCACACAAACAACAGAGGGGAAAGAGCCTCACTTAACTGATTAGAGGAGAGAAGCAGTGAAAGGGAATATGCACAAAGCGCTGCCAAGTTCAAAAAGCAAAGGAAAAGATAAAAAATAGAATCACTTCACCATTTTTTTTTTATTATTTAAAGTAAGGTATTTCTTATAATAGCAGCAGGGAAATAATTTTGAGACAAAAATGTGATTTCTTAATCAAGGGTCTCTAATTCAAAAGATATTTATTTAATAAACAGTAATTATGATAGCTGCAACTACTCATTCATATCAATAATTCATTCAGAAGTAAACCATATCAACATATTAGCATTTATTTTTCCATTTAATAGGCTGTGATTTAAAATAAATGTAAATTGTCATAATCATTCAACTCCATATGCTAGGAAAGAAAAAGTCACCTTAAACCAGATGCATATTGTGAAAAAAAAAAAGGGAAGACAAGTTGTTCTAAAGAAACAGCATATGGGGGCAGATCTTAAGCTGGTGTAAAGATGCTCTGCTTTCTAGAAGTTAACATAACTATGCTGTTTTATACCAGCTGAGATCTTGGTCTGTAATTTTTAAGAACTGAGTGTTTTAGAGGGCTTTCCATGGAGTAACATATTAATTTCCTTTTCTACAGAGAAGAGAAAAGTATGATTTCTTCCAATTTTAATCAGGAGAAGGCAATAAATGCCATCAAGAAAAATCCAGTTTGAGGATTTTTATGGGTGGAAACAGTAGGTTGTTTGCCTGAGTCGTATGTTGGCTCTGCATTAGCGTGTGTGTGTGCATATGTGAGCAATATTTTATTTCTCCTGTCTACTGAGTTAGCCAAAGCCTCTCCTAACTACCTAAAATCTCTAACTACTACTCATTCTGTTGGCACACAACTCTCTCTAGTTCCCTTATGAGTCCTTTTGCTTTCAATAGRTGAGGTCAGAGACTGCAACCACATGTAACCATGTTGAGGTAGATGGGGATGAGCCCGAAAACCTTAGAGTTCCCCATGTGGAGCCTGTGGCACCTTGTCGAGAGGCCTGGGAAGAGGCTGAGGGACAGGAATGGGTTGTCCCTGTGCTGTCCGCTCTGTGCAGATGGCAACCACCCTTCAGGACATACGCCGGCAATAGGGCCCTCTTGTACTTCTATGAGTTAAGAAAATCCTCCTTCTCCTTCAAACAGAGTGCTCTGTGTTTTGCCTGGAAGACTAAGACCACGCAGCCCTTCTTGCCCTGGCTTCCCAGGGATGCTCTCAGGCACCCTGTCTGCATGGCAAAGACATTCCAGCATGTGCTGTGTGGGCAAAGAATGCCGTAGGGAAGCACTGGTAGATCCCTAGGCCCCGAGTGGTGGGCATAGCACGGATTGCCCATCCAACCCATCTCAGGTGGGTTTTTTAGCCCCTGCCACAGCAGTTAGGCAGCTTCCATTTGCCACATAGCTCTTTCAAGGCTCTCTATGCTGCTACCACAGCAGTGACTGCCCTGTATCTTATGTGTCCTACTGCCACAGGGCAGCCAAGTTTAGCTGGTACCTGACTTTTGGGATTTCCAGCCTCTGGAACACTTTGCTTTTTTATATTCCTTCAGGATTTTTATTTTAGGAGGAAGGTGGTTTATGTTGTTTTACTTTCCCCGCCTTAACAGAGAGGAGCAATGGGTTTTCCACAAGTCCTTTGCATGATTCCTCTTTACCGTGTGGCTGTGATTTAGTGCTGGATGAAGCTCAAAGGGAGGATTAGTCTAGATATACTCCCATATGCTTGGATGCATATCTGAACCTTGTCCATACCATCCTTGCTGCTTTTGTTGGAAAAAGCTGGGCTATAAATATGATGAGTACAGGCTTCCATGCAAGATGTTTAGTATTTCCTGCTTCCATTTGGGCCAGTGATACTGCCAGTACAGCCCTTTTTGGCCCTGGAGCTTTCAGTCATGGGCTTGACGGAAATTCAGAAAATCACAGTGACAGAAAATGAATAGAGCAATGAAAGGAAGTTGATTTTTCTCAGTTTTAATGAAGGTTAGATTAGGCTTGAGCTTTAGCAGTAGCTGAAACTTTGCTGGAGGATGGGCAAGGATAGAATGTTTTTATTTTAATGGAATTGGTTCATCCATCTTTCAGGTGATTACATTTAAGCACGAACCCATTTTTATGGTGCAGAGTAAAAGAATCTGTGCTTCTTTTTAAGAGCTTTGCCTTCTGGGAAAATTAGGGCTGACTATAAAACTCTCACTATATTGTATTCAAGCAAATCTGGAATACAAGAGAGAAAAAAGGGGTGGAGGGAAAGAGGGAAGCTTTCCCAAAAGTGCTCTGCTCTGGCAGGTCCTGCTATTTTTTGGCATCACAGGTGGGATCATCATCACCTATTACCTGGGTATATTTCTGGTCTGCTGTTAAGTTATACTTAAATTATACAAAATTATAAAACATCGAATCACTTTGAGCTTCACCCAAAACTTCTATTGGGTGAAGCTCAAAACTTCTATTGGGTGAAGCTCAAAATTGGGTTCTTCTATTTCCATTTGTGGGCTTTCCACTTGGGTCATTTGTTAAAAATATTTTCTCGGTCTCACTGTAATCGGTGGATCATTTTGTGGATTCTCCTCTCTCAATTTCAAGAGCTTCCCTGTCTCTGAAAGAAGGGCTATGTTTTCTGAACCAAATTTGCTCCCCCTTGTTCTATTAATAAAATAATGCTAGATTTGAGTCAGAGATTGTGTGGAGCAGGGGKAGGCTCATTAAGCCCAAGTTGGTTAGGTAGAGAAACATCTTCTTTGCCTGCCCCAGCATGGTTCCCGTGTTGCCCAACAGATTTCTGCCTGTGCAGTGGCTGACATGGTCTGCAAGGTGCAACTTGGATTGCAGCAGCCTCCCTCCTGCGCCCGGTCCTGCTTCCAGATGCCCGCACTCACCCCTCTGTCTGCAAGGGCTCATCCTGCTCTTGAGGGTGGCCTTGGAGACAGTCTAAACGTCAACTCAGACACACTGCTTGGATGACTTGGAATGACTATTTTAGGGCAGATTTTCCCCTAAAATGTCTTTCCACAAGCATGCAGTTTGATCTTTGCACAAAGGATTTATGTAAGAGCTCACTTCTCTCCGTTGGCTCCGAGGAGAGCGTGCTGGCTGGATTTAGGGGAGCGTGAAAACTAGAGGAGAGCTGTGCACAAAAGAGAGTTTTTCTTCTAAGAACGTCCGCACAGCTAGAGCTCAGGCAGCCCTGCAGTTAAAAAACTTAGGTGAGGCCTGGCCAGGGTCAGGACAGAGTCTTTCCACGCCCCTCCTGAGACGTTGGGAGTAGGGCTGGCAGCTCTCAGGACAATCCCCTGCCGTGTACACATAGCTGCATGCACACAATTTTGCTGTCAGAGGCAGCTGTTTGAGAATCTTCCACTCGGCAGGTAGACTCTAAGCAAATGACCTCAGGAGAGCAAAGGTGAAGAAAACCCTCTGCGACTCCTTTACATGCTAAAGTCAACGGGAAGCAGCCACAAAGTTTACCTGTCCTCTTGGGAACATCATTGTTTCTGTGGCTCTGTGGCTTTAGAGCAGCACAAAACCAATGTCCCAACCCTTGGATCCCCTGCAAAAATAAGCTTTTAGCACAGAGTGGAGAGAACTTAGCAACTGCTCTACTGCAGAGGAGAGACCTGGCAGCCTCCGAGGAACCTCATCGTGGTAGGAAAGACTCTGACTTTTGACCTTGCACCTGCAAAGGTCTTTCTAAGGTCAGGTCACCACCCATGAGTGTAACCCTGCCTAATGCTGTCTGGTCTGCTTTCTGGGGTAAATGAAATGCGAGAAAAGAGAGAAGTTACTTCTCTCTTTCCTTCTTTCTTTTTTTCTTTTTCTTTGGCCCTGTTTAGCCATCTCTACCCTCTAAAGACAACGAGTCCCAAACTCAAAGGCAGATCCTAACAATACAACCTGTGCACTTGCCATTAAAACAGTGTGATGCTTAAAACTGAATATAAGCAAGAATTGGGCTTTAGATCTTACTCAAATCTCAGTGTAACTCTGAGGTTGTCAGGCAGTGCTGAAGTGAGAGATCTAGAATAGGAAAATTAGCGAACACAAAAGTCATGATATTTACTCAGTTTATGCATTTTCTCTCTTTTTTTTTTCATAAAACCTGCATAACTGGCGTGTAATTGTTTTGCTAAGTGAGCCTTGAAAGTAAGAGTCTTGATAGCTGTCAAATATCTCCTTTGTAGTGCAGTGTGTTGTCCTTAGAAGCTAATGAGTAGAACTTGCTCAGAAAAACTTAATCAGCAGAACTCAGCACACTGTCAGTGCTTAGCAAATAATAAATTATAATAATATCAGCAGTTCCTTTGACACAACCTCTCCAACTTTTGCTTTGTTTCTGGGAGTGTCTTCTTTGCCACTAGTTAAGTTTTAATGCCTACTACTACCTATCTAGCTCTTCTTGCTATGGTTGAGAGGACCTGTAAGAGAGACCTAGTGGGGTGGAAGCATTGTCCGAAATGAAATTTTGACAAATGTCACAATAAGAATTCTGAGAGAGCCCTTAGGTTATTGCTTTTCACTTACTGGTGTTGCCTATAAGGCTCAAAAGTAAAGAAAAATGAAACCATGTACAAATTCCATCAATTCAGTTGTTAAAATGTAAATCACTATGCTTATAGGCTAATAGAATCACATTTGAGCTTCCCGATAGTCTCTGTTTTTAAAAGACAGGCTTATAAGGTTTGCCTTACAAAAAGGTGAATGTATGCAGAATCACCTCCATTATTGGTAATTATTATTGCTATAAGGAGGATCGGGTGGCTCAGAGGGTTGTTAACAGATCTGAGGCTTTCACTTCTTTGTCACCATTGTAATTTGGCCCGGGCTGGGAGTTACCGACAATCATTTMATTTTCTAATTGTTTGGTAGTTTATATGCAATTAGGTGGTGGGTTTTATTCACTTCCAACAAGATGTATCTCCACATTATAAAGAAAACCACCAGGTCAGCTCTAAGCTGCCACTAATTGTCACGGGCTTAAATGGAGCCATGTCAATTTATCCCAGCTGAGGATCTGACCAGCGATCACAATTGGCATTCATTAGCAGATGTGTTATCAGACTCCGTGGAGATGCTCTGGGTTGAGTGACAACGGAGACTCTCAGCTGGCGCAGGCGAGCACTGCCGATGCCGGTGGATCTGTGCCAGTTTGCCGGCTCTGCTCCTGCCGCCAGCAGGTGGAAATTCCAGGTCAACCTTGAGGCTCGGCTCCTGCTACCTGGGCCGTGCCTCAAGGCCCAGCATGGAATGACAAGTTGAGGTTCAGGGCTGTCAGTTTTATTAAAGCATGGGCAATGCAACACATATATTTAAAATAGGAAGCAAAGAGAAACGGGAGGAAGCCTTAGTGCTAAACTAGCTCGTCCTTGGAGCCTGGTGTGGATGAGGGACTGGGCTGCTGGTGCTAAGCTTAAAAGCCCCTGCAAACGTGGTGGGGTTCTGTTTTTTTTCTCAGTATTATATGTGCCTCAACTAACACTGTTACAAGTTGCATGCATATGACAGAAAAGTGGGGGAGAAGCCTCTCAAAAGAGGTAATCCTCAAATGCAACAGGTTTTTCCCAATGGCAATTACCCACAGCTGCAGTGTTGTTACAGCTGTAAACCAGGGGTTGGGGCTGTGGCTGGAGAAGCATTTTGAACATGTAGGTGAGTTAAGAGCCGAATGGAGACAAATCTGAGAGGCTGCATTTTTGGCGGAAAAATAGGCACAGTTTACCATCCTCCTTCACATTTATTTGGTTGCATTAGAGGTTAAAACCAAAGAGATGATGCGTGCCGATGCTCCTTGCTCCATCTTTGGTGGCTGGAGCAGCCACTCCATCCCCTCTCTCTTTCCCTCCTGCCACTGCAGGATGGTGGTAAGGAACAAACTGCCAAGCTGACTGTGTGGCATCTTGGACCACACAGATTTCTGGTTTCCCCGTTAATATAGGTACCCAACGTGCCCAGCACAAACCTGGACATCAGTGAGCAATCCTTTCGTCCTGTACAAATTTCTGATCCTTTCTCAAAACTGGAACAAGTTAGCAGAATTTATGCTTGTTGGGACACTAGGAAAAAGAGTCTTTTTACTGCAAAACTTTTTACAGCCAAGAAAAGGAAAAAAGCAGGAGGGTGAGGCTTAAACAGTGAGGGTAACACAGGAGTCACTGGACTGGTGCCAGGCCTGTGACCCAGCCAATGGAAAGGTGAATATATGAGAAAGGCGCAGTAGTAGCGAGTACGCACAAACTTGCACCCTTTCCACACACATTTTCCACCATCTTAAGCCAGATATGAAGAGATGTTTAGGCACCTAGTTGCTATGACAAATCTGTTTCTTTCTCTGAATAGTCATCTTTAGGCTCAGATCCACAACAGTAGTTGACTGAGACCTTGGGTGGGATGTAGACATCAAAGCTCAGGATCTCAACATATCCAATAATTTAATCACCCCAATTCTTGCTAATAGAGATCTCAAGACATCTACAGTTTTCCTTTTGCTTATCTACAAAGAGAGCAGGAACCCTAGCCAGGGAGCTACAAGCTAAATATTCATGGAGGAAAATATTTTCCGTACTTCTGTAGAAGTGGTGCCGATACTTAGAGACTTCACTGGGAGGAGTTTAAGACATTAAGGTGGAGAATAAGATATCTTCTCTTACCTTCCTCTCCAGAATTATATATCTCTGCACTTAGCTATTTTGGATTGGTAAAAGCCAGAGGATTTTGTTTAGTGTACTCACTGCTGTGTAAGGTTTTTTGTAAAACATTGGTTTCACAGCCTAGTGAAATGGCACTGATTTTTCAGGAAAATTGGTAAAACGTATCCTCAAAGGATATACAGAGGTGATGATTACTGGAGTTTTAATTAAAATATCAGGTAAAATAAGTATGACAGCGTGTTATTAGTTCCAAGATAACAACAGAATAAGAATGCCCATTTCTTTCCTGAGTGCAATTTTCTAAATGAAAAAGTAAACATTAATATCTTCAAAGATCTTACTGATCTTGTACAATAATTTAGAAAAATATCTCTATTAGGGATAGTTATATATGCTTTTTGTTGGAAATGCAATCACAGAATATGCACATAGCTGCAATCTGTAGATAGATTAAGTAAATTAAATCACTCAATGTCTTTTTTTTCAATAGCTCTAAAGTTAAAAGTAATTTGCAAAGAAAATACTCAGTTTCAATTGGTTTGTAATATCTGTTAATGATCTTTGGAAAAAWTTCTGATAACACACGGGAATTCCCTCAGGGACAGGCTTGTGAATAAGTGGATTTTTTTTAAGTTTGAGATGTCATTAGCTAGTGATTTCTTTGATGTAAAAAGCTGTTATGGAATAAATTGCAGAGGTATACAAGTGAACAGGACAATCATTTTTATGAATAATATATATTTGTTCCACTGTGCTATCTGCCCCCAAAAGAAATAATTTAAGTTGCCATTATACACATAACAAATTCACAAATGCCTATGTATTTTGTGCTTACTTTATGTAAATACTTAAGAATGTATGGATTGTTGGTGTAAAAACACCAGTGTAAGGATCTATTTTGCTTCTTTAACTACTTATTTTCACTAGGTAATTTTTTGAAAATACAAGGCTGAATAATTTCCCCTAATCAAAATGGCTCCAGCACAACTGTTCTCTAGAAGACATCCTCCCTGATTTCTTACAGGGCCTGTAAGATAATTGAATTTGCAGGTAAGTGCAGTCATGGGGGCAAAAAAGTCCTTATTCTGAGAATACTTTGTTAGCATGAAGTATCCCAATCTCTTTGACTATTCAAAGATGATCCAGATATCCATCACATACTACTAGAATAAGTGGGCATTTTTTACAAGGATGAACGGCAGATTTCCAGGCCACTTCCCCCATCTGAGAAATCTGAAGTAGAAAAGATCAACAGAGGCATCATAGACTACACCTCTCCTTGGGATACCTGGGGAACATTGCTTTGTTTTGGGGTTCAGCTTTGCAACTGAGGATAAGACTTGCATCTTTATGGGTTCCACAGGAACTCTGAAGAGGTGCTGGTCTGGGTGATGGGGACTTGGACTCCAGGGTGTGCTTTACATTAATTAAAAGATAATCCTAGTTGCTGTAGAGCAACTAGAGCACAGAGACTTTGTTTCATCACCATCCTTCACACTTTTTTGACCAAGACCCTATTAATCTTCTCCCCTTTCCCTTTTTCCTAATCTACAGGCTGGGCTGTCGGGCTACAGTGAATGTGACTGTTGCCTCCATGGTTCCTATGAAAGGATGGAGAAGCAAGGATTTTCCAAGATCCAGGAAGACAGGTGAAGAGCTACAGGTGTGAAAAGTTTCCTGCTCTGTTCTGAGCTTCTGAAGACATATTGTAGTGGCCAAAATCATCTGTCCTCAACTGATTATCCCTCAGAAGGTATGACAGCCCTTCACCTCATTTATGCAATGTTCAGTGATGCTCTATATTTGCTCTGAGGATAATGGGGCATCATCCTGAATATGCATTAATCATCACTAGTATTGGTCACCTCAGTAAGTTGTCTTGACTTTGGCAGAGGCCAATACCATCCAATACCAGTACCAAAAGGAGACCATCACTTCTTTGGCAGAACAGTACAGAGYGGAAGATGATGCCACCCTGACACTATTTATTGACTAGCATATGACAAAAGCTATTGTGATGACTAGACACTATTAGCCTACTTCTAGCTAGTAAAACTCTCACAGATTTTTTTTTCTAAGGCTAAGAACAACCATTATTATCATCTAATCTGATCTGCTGCATAATGTATGCCACTGAACTTCACCCAATCTGATCTTAGCAAGAAAATTTACTTTAATGCCTGAAAATACCTCATCATTTACAAATATTATGTTGTTTCTCTCAGTACTATCTTTGCAACAGCGAGTCTCATTAATTAAGTATGCATTGCATAGAAAAGAAATACCTCTTATCCATCTGAAATTTGATACCTCTTAGTTTCACCTTGCAAGATAGGAAAGTTTTTGTTGTTGTTGTTGTTGTTGTTTTTTCCTTTGCTGCTAATTAGGTCAAAAGATCATGAGGATGAAATGTTATTTATATTATGGGCATGCTTGAGTAGAACTCTGGCAAAGTCTGGGGACTCTATTGCATGAGCTGAGGGAACAATGCAAGTCCTTTGGGGCTGAAAYTGCTTGAATAGACATATTTACAAAAAAAAAGCTGAATGATTTAACTGGAAAAAAATGTCAAAGAAGTCAGTGGATTCATATTTTTGAATCACCTGTGCATTTCTGAAATATTAATCTGAAGACTGAGAGAAGGAAAGGCATGGAAAAAATGGAGTTACTAGAACTGGGATGAAAAAAATAAGTTTGGGCTGTAGTTTGTTATAGAAAAATATATGTTCAGTGGACAGCTCTGGGCCCTCTTCACAGTCCATAGGTCATTTTGGCTTCCAGTGCCTGAGTTTGGTTGAAAAGTGCTTTGAAAGTTCTGTAAGGTAGGATATACCAGGGAAAGTGTCTGCAACATCTGCTTTGTGCAAGGGCCCAAAGCCTTCCAGCAGAATTGTAAGGACTGCTTAGGGATCAAGTATATCTTCTACATTATCTCAAGCCAAAGAGTTTGTTCCAAGTTTATGGAAAGGATTCAGGAGTGATATGCAGTCCTATGAGGGTGAATCTCGCCTGAGAAACAGGGTGGTGCTTGTGTTCTTTATCTTTTCTCAAGAAATTCCCCATCCTTTTGACTTTTATCATTTTTATTGCCATTCTCTGGACCTGTTCTATTTCTACTTTCTTTTTTTTTTCAGGGATGAGGTGACCAAATTTGAAGACAGTATTCAAAGTGAGGATGTGCCACGGATTTATATAATGGCATTATAATATTTTCCATATTATTCTCTAAAACTCTTTTCTTCATACAAACCCCATAAGATTCTTTTTAATTCTTTGAACTACAGTGCCTTTTAACATCTGTAGTTTACTCTGATCAGATTTTGACAAAGGAATAAAAGGCTCCATTTTTCACATAGAATTTTATTTATTGTCTGAACTTTAGAGGAGAAATTGGTTAACTTACAATTTAAAATTCTTGGCAATGTAGACCATTGGGTTAGGATTTTGTTATCAACTCTTCTATAATTTCTTTAAAAAAGTGTGAAGCTGAAAATTGGTGTGCAAGATCTTGCCTCAGAAGCTTGACTTGCATATCCTTTCAAACAATAAATGCAGTCAAATACTCATTTTGGAGCTTCCAGCATCTGCAAAGATGTCAAAAATGTTATTATTCTGTATCCCTGCCCTGATGAGGCATTCTGGAGTGACATGTTTCCATGATGTTACCCCAGGGTCATGCATGTGAGTAAGTGGCACATGAGTTCTGTGCTCTGTGCTCTCCTGTTCACTGCACCACAGACTCCTACGCTAGGTCAGGGGAAGATCTTTTTGAAAAGGTGGTGCTTGATGACTGCAGAGGGTGAGGATCTTGCTCTCATGTCACAGCTGGGCATTATGTCTTCATCAGGGTATTAGAAAAGGCTCAAGGAAAAAAAAAGTTACATCTATTCTATTGCCAAAAATGCTTCCTGCAGCTACTGACTTTCCTTAGAGCTACCAATCCAAGTGCTGACCCTCACTGACCCTACTTATCCCGTGAAAGCAAACAAGATCACAGCCTGAAGCAGTATAGCTACAGGCTCAGAGATGACTACCAAAATGTCTATTTAGTATTTTCAGAAACACAGTTCTAAACGTTTACAGTACCAGCTTCTAGATTTGTGGACAAGACCAAAACACAGCCCTGGCCCCTGAGCATTTAGCCCCACTTAGGCAGAAATTCATGCCTCTCGGGAGGCCAACACTGAGTTGCCATGAAACAGTTATTTTCTACCCGTAACTCTACCTGAATTTAAGCATCATATGACTACGTACACTCAAGTACTGGATAAAAATAACATTTGAAAACTACAGATTTGAGTCCAGAGTTCATTTTTAGCTCCTTTCATCAGTTGCATTACTGTTTTAGCAGTAAAAATGACTTTACTATTCCTATGTGATTATCTGGGKTTTTTTTTTTGGTTTAATGCAAGAAGTTGTCTTAATTCTTTCATGACCAAAACAGTTTTTCAGATGCTATCTTTAGATGAACTGCAAATTTCTTCCCTAGAAAACATTTCAGCTCAACTGTATGAAAGCAAATGTGTGTTTTTCTGAATATCTCGAAGGATAAATATAGGTTCAAATACGCAGTCAACACTAGGAGGATCATCTGATTTAATTGTTGCGTATATTCATAGTTCATGTTGATGGTTTTTTTTTTCTTTTCTTTCTAGAACAGCAAAGATACGGATGAAAACAGTGAGGTCTTATTGCTTCTGTTGGAAACTTCTTCAGACTACAGCATGAGTTGGATTGGGCCCAGAGAAACCAAATACACACAAGTAACAATGAGTTGGCCATACAAGGAAGGAAAATCACAGATAACAGATGCACACAAATTAGCAATGCACCTTTTAGATCATTGAATGCAGTTCCCTGACACTGTGAGATTATTTCTTATGGCATATTTTTGGCTGTTTTTTGTATCTAGATTAAATATCCGAAGTGATGCTGTGTCTCTAAGGAAGGATTTTCCTGCCTAATGAATCCCATTGTCATAAGTTTTTTTCTTTCTTGATATCACCATGTTTCACCTAGTTATGCTCCTTTGCAAATCTCCTTCACTGTTCTTCTCCTTCCTTGGTGCATTTTCTCTCCAGTATCTTTAATCTACTGTTAGGTATCATTAATCCAATCTATATATGTTTAACTAATCTTCCCTGACAAACAAGTCCTTTTGGTCTCTTGATTATTCTTCCTATCCTGTTGTCACATCCTGCCTGTCAGCATCTTTTTTTTGCTTATGAGATTTCAAAGACATGACACATTCCTCTGAATTAACAACAGATTGTGGCATAGATATGAGCACCCTCAATGTCTTCTTACTAATAAATACTCCTGATGTATCCTTGGGAAAGCTATCAGCTTTCTCGATAGAAGCACAAGCAGAGTATCTGGTTCAAGCCACTTTCCTGGTATCACTTTTTCTTATTTTGTTGGTCAACAGTAACCTTTTAACACAGTAAAGCAAATGTTCTTTTTTACTGATGTTGTTTAATTTTTCCAACTCTTAGTCATGTGCATCACTATCTAATGTTATTAAAGACGTTGACTGGTCTAGCAGTATGTAAATGCTAGTAGTGCACATTGTAGAAAATAATTATGTGCATAGTCACAAGCCTAGCTGTTCACTTCAAGCTATAAATTCTGATCAACAAACAACACTTCTTTAGTGCTAAATGAGATCTTGGTTGTAATTGAATGTCTTTACCTTTGTGTTCTGTTGGATTGGAGGAATATCATTTTAATCTGCTCTCTTTAAATTTTCATTAAGGAACGTTTCAGCTACCTGCAGTCTCATCTGGTGATGTTTAATGATATCAGCTAGCTTGTTCTTCTGTGCACCAGCAGGAGCTTCTTTAAATTGGTCAACTGCAAAGAATATTGTTTTTGAGTTTAATGTACTCAGAATCAACCTTTTAAAACAATGATATCTCTTAAGACAATTTATATAATAATACACGCATATGAGCATATATTTATGTGCACATATATATATGTACCTGAGTGTACACATATATAAACACAAGGCCTATGTACCTTTTTTAAGACATTTTGAGTAGTATTATGATTAAAAAGTGCTGATAAATTTGCAATGTTATACATTTTTGTTGGAGTTTACTTCTGTAATCTAAGTTACAAAAGGTAAACTGGAAATTTCATATGCAGCTGATGATATAATGCTACTATCTCGTGATGCTGAACCTCACACTTCTAGGAGAGTAGGATGGATGTTCCTTGCTGGAGTAATTATACTGCCAATTCAATACATATTTTCTTGTTTTCATGTGGGCACAAAGATGTCCAAACCATTAAACATATATTGTATAATGATTCTTGTGTTCCTTATTTATTCTAAAGAAGGCATTAACTTTCTATGGTTGATTTATTATATAATAAAGCAAACTAAGAATCTGTGATGAACTCAGCAATAAGCTGTGACACTTATTAATGTATATTTACATGTAATAATTATTACATGGTGASAGCTGGTCCAAAATAGACCTGTGTGAACCCTGTAACTTCTTTCCAAATCCTGATGTTTGCCAGCATGTACATGGCACTSGTTCTCCAGATCAGATAAAAGTTATTAGAAAGAATCTGCTTCTTCTTATTTGACCTCTATATAGCTTCAACCAGTTTAATCAGTAAGGGACATATCAGGGAAAAAATAAGAGTTGTCTAGTATGACTTTTTTCAATGGAGACATACAGAACCTGAAAATAAACTAGGTTTCTCCTTTGGAAGGAAGTACAAACAAGTTTTATCTACTTGCATTTGAACTTGGTAAAAAATAACTGGGCCTGAAATGCGAGCTTGAAGGTAACATATGAATGCTGTAAAGCAAAATTTCACCAAGCTAAATTCAAGTGAAGTGTTCCACACTGTTATAATTACTACACAGAACATGAGCTAATTAACTTTATAGTGTGCTGATGAAATAAGTATGTACGGCACACAGGGCAGAGGGAGGAGGCAACACTGGGATGCTATTGACTTTGCAGACAAGCCAGTGTGTGGAGAGCATGCTAGGAACAACTTTGTGAAAAGGAGGCCAGTGAAATAGTGCAGTCTTAGAAATGATTTTTCAGGGTGGGTAGAAAATTATTTATAAAATCTGATAATTCTAGCTGTATTACTAGACAGTGTTTGTGGTGTGTTTAACTGCATTTTCCCAAGTCGCTATTTGACATTTCAACCGGGGACTCCAAGCATTAAGGAACACAGACTTTTAAAGAAATGTGGTCGGCTAAGATGCAATTACTTAGTCATCTGCAGAAGAGCCTGGGCATGTCTCTCAGTGATAGCAAGGAGACCTGGGCATCCAGGTGCGTTAGAAAAGCCTTTGCTCAATGCAGGACTGCACCACCTCCCCAAGCGCTGACCCCGCTTCAGCTGGAGGTGCCGCTGGGGACATGCTGAAGGGGGACAGGACAAGCACGCTGCTCCTCGTTTGCCCTTCCTCCTGGAGCGGGGCTGCTACCCACTGCGGCTGGGGTGACCGGGAGCAACTCCTGCCGGGGAACCTCTTATGTTTTTATCTCCCTCCTCTTGGCAAGGAGCTGCCACTGGCTCCCAGCCATGGCCCTGTGGCCCAGCGTGTATGCTCCGCCAGCGCCTGCATCCCTCCAGCAGCTGGTCCTCCTCCTCCTCCACAGCTGGCTGCTGCCCCCTGCTGTGGTAATTATTATTTATTATGGGYAGCCCGTGTACACTGTGTGCCCCGAGTCCAGGGCTGTCTGAATCAGCACCGAGGTTCCCCTGGGTGGCCAAGAGCACATCCTGGTACACGCACTCGCTGCACGTACATCTCCACGTGGCTTTCACCCAGGGCTACGCAGAGTGGGAGGGAGGGAAGGGGTCTGCCGGCACCTATTAGCACTATCTGATGTGACACATACTCAGTGTCCCGCGCTACATGACTCCAGCAGCAGCGCGGCTCAGCACAGAGCTGCTTTCTCTCCGCTTTGCTATCAACAGCAGGTCTCCAGCTATTTGTGCTATCTAGCAGGAAACACCTGAGGTGTTTTCCAAAAGTCATGGTCTCTGCTCAGCCACAGTTTAACTCTCTGTTGCTGCAGAGGCAGATATTGCTTGGTTTCAGCTGCTATCAAGGACTAGTATTCTGAGTCCATAGCATGGTTGCCTGGAATAGAGCTTTTTTTCCTATTTTCTCAACTGTCTTCATCTTCTCCAAAACTGCCTGTTCATGCTTGTGCCTTTGTGCGTGCATCTTTTCTTACATTTCACCTTTCCTCCTGGTCTTGCCTCCTGAAAGACTACGTAGCTTAAATACAGAGGAGCCTTAAATCCTACAACTCAGGGTACAAACAAAAGCACCTGGAAGAAGAATATACTTCTCTACATTCAGAAAAACTTGGAATCATAAACATATTTCAAATGTATATGTACATGCGTGAGAGCCAGGGGCTGTAGTAATTCATTTTAGCTCTGTTCAGGATGATGGAGCAAAACTGTTTCAYGGCAGCTGAGAATCTTACCAGTATGTAAATATAAATATCTATTTTTACAAGCCATCCTACAGTTTGCCTTAAAAAAGGCTTTCTTTTTAGACACTAAAAGCATACAAGTTAGTCAGAAATGTCCCACTTTCTGTTTTGTCTAATTCCTACCACTGACTTCCTTTGAAAGCTATCAAAATCTAATGAATTTAAAAGAGACAGAGTGAGTTAAAACAGCTTTGCCTTCAATGCACTGAGCTTGGAGGAACTGAAGAACAAGAGAGAGAAACCAAAAGGGTACGAAGGCTTACAAATCCATGCTATTTAAAATGTTTTGTAGAAAGTGGGCTCACCAAACTCAGGAAGTTTTTTACTGTCCTATTGCTCATAATCCTCTGCCCTTTGAACCAACTGCAGCAAGTCATTGTCAAGAACAAATACTCACRTAATGTAATCTCTACATTGGAGCACTTTATGCCATGAACTACTTTAGAATTTGGTTTGGGTTTACATTTAATTGTTTCCTTTGCATGTAGGTGGACACATAAGGCCCCCCCACCTCCATCCCACATACTTCATATGGAGCTCTCAAGTAAGCTGGAGCTGTGTACTTTTGATAAGGAATATTGAAACCTCACAGCTCAAGAAGTTTAAAGTAATTTGTCCTTTTTTAAGATGGGAACCATATGTGCAGCTCGGGTCGAGATCTAAGTTTATTCTGAGTATGCTGATTTGAATGCATGAGGATTTGGCATTCAGATTCATTTATTTGTTATGACACTAGTCCTAATATCCTCTACTGAGTGTTCACCTTCCCCACCACTATATAGAGAAACATTTAGCATATTTACTTCCTCTAAACTGATTTTTAATTAATTCCAGCAACATATCATGTTTAAGATATTTTTCCCAGTTTTATTTGTTAACATCTTCTATGGCAATGGCTTATAAATGACCTCTGCAAAAACTTTTGAACATTTTGATCACTTACATGTGGTCACCTTCCTCTGACAACTTCCTCTTATTCTGCTTTCCCTCTGAAGGCTCTTCCCTGGCTTTTCAAAGTGCTCCAATCAGACAGAGAGAAACATTTCCCCCTTGCTACAGCCTCACTTGTCTGAGAGATTGTACCCTCATGGGGTGTTCTTGTCCAACAATCTCTCTCTAAAACTGCTCTTCAAAACTCGAATCTCAGGTCCCCTAAAACTATGGTAAACATCAAAGCCCTGCAATTCCCAGGATTTCCCCCATCTCCTTTTGAAGACATGCAACATAATAGGGCTTCCCAGACTTCTTTCACTGCTGCATTTTTTTAAGGGAGGAAGGCATCCCCTTGTCAGTATCTTGGCTTTTTCTCACTTTATTTCCCCTCAGAACTCCCAGATGAACACCATCCGGTTGCGGTGATTTACTGCACTCGAGTTTCTCAAGTTACTCTACAACTTCCTCCTTAGAGACTTCAGTCTGTATAAAGGCCACACTCTGATTTTCTTTGCAAAGTGCCTTTGGCACAGGAATTTCTCCACGACTCTCACAGCAGATATGATGCAAGAGATTCATTTAACTCCTCTGTTAGCTTGTTRCACTCTTCTCCTGACCCACTTTGTATAGATTTGTGGGGCTCTCTGGGGTSTTTTAGTGCACAACCCAGGTTAAGCTTTATGTTAACCTCCAGGCGATGCTTGGTTTTCAGATGGTGCTCTGTCACTGCTCCATGGAAGGWTATTTCTGCATATTGCTGCAGCTGTTCTCTCACATCTTATGTGTCTGGCTTATTAAGCCTGGTATCATTCCACTATAACATCTGTTGCATGCTGAAAAGGAGTTGGGCTAAATCCTCACTGACACAAACTGGCCTTGTCTAGAGGAAGACATTCAGGTGAAGAGATGGCCCATACAGAAGCCCTCCTCAGTAGCACTAAGTTAGTGCTTGCCTTAGCAACTGGGGATTCTGCAGCAGAGGGGCAGGCTGAGTGAAAAGAGGGATGTGACCCACATCCCAGCCCATGGCCTGGCCCTCAGCACGCTGACCAGCCTCTTAGACCTGGGCCTTTGACTAAGGAAAGTCAGAATGTTGCAGAAATCCTTTCTCTTTTTCCTTCTCTTTTTTATTAACTTGCCTTTTTACTTTTACCAAAGATAAAGCCTGCCATATAACCAACCCAATATTTAATGACCATGAAATACAAAGCTAGACCATAGGAATTAGGGCAAATTATTCTCCATGCCCTGTTTTGTTATCCAGGCAGCACATACTATATCAATCCACATGTTTCAGAAGAAGGTCAGCTTTATAGTATCAGAAAACCAGAAAACATGGGTTTGCAAATCTACTGAGCTTTGTGACATAAAACTTGTTCCATTGACTTTTGTTGGCCATTACTCAGTCTGCTT